ATGGAGGATGGAGGATGGAGGATGGAGGATGGAGGATGGAGGATGGGATGGAGGATGGAGGATGGAGGATGGAGGATGGAGGATGGAGGATGGAGAATGAAGGATGGAGGATGGAGGATGCAGGATGGAAGATGGAGGATGGAGGATGGAGGATGGAGGATGGAGGATGGAGGATGGAGGATGGAGGATGGAGGATGGAGGATGGAGGATGGAGGATGGAGGATGGAGGAGGAGGAGGAGGAGGAGGAGGAGGAGGAGGAGGAGGAGGCCCCTGTATCGTGTGTGCTCACTATGTTCGGTGTCGCGGGCTCCGAGGGGCCCAACGGGACACTGCGCTTGGTGCCCGCAGCACGGTGGCGGACTTCTGGAAAGACCTCGACCTCGAGCGCGCCGGCCTGATCCAGCAGAGCCAAAGACGGCACGAGCAGAAATCTGTGCACGCCGATCGATGAAAGTGGGTATTTTTGGATTGCCACATCCCAATTTTTTGGGCGCCTTCCTACTCCATTCATGGGGTGCTTCAGGGGGCGGGCGGAAACCCAATCTATTGCTAACGCCTTCCAACTTCATGCTTTCACCTACTTCTTCCGACCGACGCGTACGATCATCCCCTGCCTTGCCCCCCTGGGTAAGCGCCCCCCAGGCCATTGGCTAAGCCATAGCCGAACCAACTTGTGATCTGGCCGGCCTAGCAGGCCTGGCCCGGCACCCCATCGTATCAGCGTCTGGCCGCCTAGCCGCCTGAAGCGCCTGTCCGACCCACCGCCCACCACGGCAGGGGATGTACGATCGGAGATGGGCACGTACGGAAACCATGGGTACAAAGTCCAACAGCACTCCTTGCCCATTTTGGACAACATGTTCGCTGTCGGCGTCGCCGCGGCCGCTGTGCATCTGAGACGGAAGGCGGACTGCCCGGCATCGGCCGCTGCCGGTCTTGGACAGCCTTCGGAGGCCCGCGCGGACTCTCCCCGTTGTCGCTGGGCCCCCCCCCCTGCTGCCTAGACCCTGCCCCGGCGCGCGGAGCGCGCTGGGTCGGCCCTGGCGGGGAGTGGGGGGGGGAGGGGGGCGGTCTGGCGCCGACGCAAGAATCAGGAGGGGCAGCTGGGCACAAACACGCACACACACACACACGCATGCAAAGGTTGCTTTTCAGGAAGAGATGAACAATTGGGAGATGGAGGGGAAGAGGAACATGTGTCAGGTATGGGAAACTAGGGGGAATCTCAAGAATTTGAACACATGTGTGTGTGTGTGTGTGTCGTCCTGGGCCCCTTGATAAGAAATCCGTGCGGACCTCCTCGTTCGGGTGTTGCCAGAGGTGGGTGGCTCCAGCTTTGCCTCAGGGAGGTACAGACGGCTTCCAGAGCACCCCTCCCGAGGCTCACGAGCGGCGAACCTATCCTTAAGTCGGGCATGTCCTTCTACAGGAGGAATATTCAAAGATAGTCCAAACATAATATGGGGACGTTTTTTCGATTTGAATATTTCTGGAATCCTTTTAAGCTTTCCTCCCAGATCTACTTGTAGGGGGACAAGCCCGCCCTAAACCTATCCGTATCATCACCCTCGCGGCCTGGATTTCGGGCGCGATGCCGCGGATACGCGGTCGCACGGAGACGTTTCGCGCAGTGCATCTGCGCAGAAACGCCCCGTACCCGCGGGGTCGCGGCCCAGGAGCCCGGCCCGCGAGGGCGAGGACGCGCACCTGTTCTTCGCCCACGAGGGGCCCAGAGGACCCCATGGGGCTCCCAAACATGGCGTGGTGGGCTGGGGACACCTTGGCCCAAGGTGTCCCCAGCCAACCACGGCCATGTGCAACCTTAAATGACTTTAAATGGCTTTAAACGGCGTTAAATAGTAGCAGACAGCGAGCTCCTATCTTATTTTCAGCCCCCAACGAAACGAACTCAACTTGGGCCAGGCCCACCTTTGGCCACGCCCCAGTGCGGGAGCAGCAGATATGCCGACGCCGCCAGGGACTGCCCCAGGGCCTCTGCCGGGGCGCGTTCCCCGACGAGGGCCCCGACGGTGGATCCGGCCGTGGCAACGAGGCCCCTGCCGGGGAGGCCTCCCCGCAGCGCGAGGCCCGGGGGGGAAGGCCGCGGCGCCGGTGTCACGCTCCTCGTCTGGGCTGCCGCCCTCGAGGCAGAGGGGCCTGCATGCAGTGCCGGTTTTGATGCATGCTCCGCGTGGGGATCATGTGTAGAAAATGCAGGGATCTAGCTCAAAAGCAGCGAGGAATTCGTGCATAATTTGATCCATACATGAGTCATGTATTAACATCTTATATTTCTAAAAATCTTAGGTATTAAAAGCTGCCCTGTACGCATCTCCTTTCGGAGGTCCGCGCGGGGCCCCGACAGCTCACGGTGAGCGGCGCAGCGCAGAGCGGGTCGGCCGCGCGGAGCTTCCCGCGCAGGCTGCCCGCGCAGGGTCGCCCGCACGCCGCTCCTTCCTTTCCAGCGCAGCGTGTGCCACGGGCCCGCGTCGGTCCCCGCGTAGAAAGTCGCTATACGTCGTCCTGCGCAAGACCCGCTCGCTGTGGTCGTTGTCGTGAAGGGAGTTGCTCTTCTTCCTCCTCCTCCTCCTCCTCCTCCTCCTCCTCCTCCTCCCGGGTCTGTGCCCGTGTGGTTTTCTTGGCTCTTCTGCGATCGACTTCGACTACGAGGAGAGGCACCTGGACACGTTCGGGGGCGCGGATGGCGGGGCCGGGGCGTCCCCGAGGGCGTCCCCGAGGGCCGCGGCGACACCCGGCGGGGCCCGCGAGATGGAGCTGGGCCTCGCGAGCCACCCGGCGCCATGAGCGGAGCCTGCTGCAGGAGGGAGGGAGGAGGGAGGAAGGAGGAGGGAGGGGGAAGGGGGGAGGGAGGAGGGAGGAGGGAGGGAGGAGGGAGGAAGGACGGAGGAGGGAGGAGGGAGGGGGAGGGGGAGGGGGGAGGAGGAGGGGAGGGAGGGAGGGAGGGAGGGAGGAAGAGGGAGGAGGGAGGAGGGAGGAGGGCGGAGGGAGGAGGGCGGAGGGGGGACTGCCACACTAGAGTGTCAGAGCGCAGGCAGGCCCCTCGGTGCTCCGACCGCTCCTTCGCGAGCGCCGCGCCACCACCGGGGATGATGTTGCAAGTCGTACGTCGGGCGCGTCCCTCCACAGGAGGAAAATTCAAAACTAGTGAAACATTAGTTTTTTTTTGGCATGTCATTTTTTTCCATACTTTTTGGAATATTTTGGGTTTGTTCTTGTTTCGTCCAAATCCGCCTGCAGGAGGACATGCCCGACCTGATGCAAGTCCAGGCCCCCAGGCACCACCCACCAAACCACCCCAACCCAACCCGAAGGCCCCAATTTGCCCTCCATTCCCAGTGGGTGGGGCTCGGGGAACATTGAAAGAACAGGTGTGGAACCCGTACCCCCCCAACCCGAAATTCTAGACGCTTCGCGTATCCCCACCAGTTTTCCGGCTTTCCCTGGTCGGCCTCGCCGTTCGCTCCAGGGCCCGCCGCTCGCCCTCCCCCGGGGTGCCTCGCCGTTTGGGCGCTCCTCGGCTGGCGGGTGCCGCTCGCACGTTCGGGGGCGTCTGGCCCCGCGCCGGTCAAGCCTTGCCCCCACGAGCTTGGCGATGCTCCTGCTCGGCGCTCCGCCGCCGCTGTCAATGTCGCTTGGCACTGCCGTCGCCGTACCGCCACGGCTCCCAATCTGTGCTCTCCCTACTCGCAAAGGGCTTCTCCCGCTTGCGCTCTTGATTTCTTCCTGTCGATCCGGTTTTTCCGTCGAGCGCCTGCACGGTCGCCCTCTTCGACTACGCGGTCGTGGTCTTTGTCTCCCTCGTGGACGTGGACGTGGCCTTCGAGGACTTGGGCATGAGTTGCTTCGCCATTTTGGCGCTGCACGTGGACCAGTTCTACCTCCTGGTCCCCGACCGCTTCGGCGTTCACGACCTGTCCTTCAGCGTCTTCCCCGCCCCCTGAGCCGCAGCGTAGTTCGCTCCTGCGTGCTTAGTGCCTACCTAGTTCACAGCTTGGCACGGTTGCCTCGTTTCTCGACGGCGCGCGGTTGGACCGCGACGCTCGCGAACGAAAATATCCCCTACCAACCCATATTGAACGGATGTCCAGGCGAGTTGAGGTGCTCAGGAAAGTGCGGGAGCAAAGAGGGGGACGGCCGAACCGTGTGAAGGAGGGAGGAGGAGACGGAGGAGGCTGGATGGATGTATGGATGGATGAGGGAATGGGGAGAAGGGTGAGGCGGGAGGAGGAGGAGGAGGAGGAGGAGGAGGAGGAGGAGGAGGAGGAGGAGGAGGAGGAGGAGGAGGAGGAGGAGGAGGAGGAGGAGGAGGAGGAGGAGGAGGAGGAGGAGGAGGACAGGAGCAGGAGGAGCAGGAGCAGCAGGAGCAGGAGCAGGAGCAGGAGCAGGAGCAGGAGGAGGAGGAGGAGGCGGAGGGGAGGGGGGGAGGAGGAAGAGGGGGGGGGAGGAGGAGGATGAGGAGGATGATGATGATGATGAGGAGGAGGAGGAGGCGGAGGAGGAGGAGGAGGAAGAGGAGGAGGAGGAGGGGGAGGAGGAGGAGGAGGAGGAGGAGGAGGAGGAGGAGGAGGAGGAGGAGGGGGAGGAGGAGGAGGAGGAGGCGGAGGCGGCGGCGGCGGCGGAGGAGGAGGAGGAGGAGGAGGAGGAGGAGGATGAGGAGGAATAAGAAGATGACGATCAATCATCATAGTAATGGGAATACAGGTAAGAAAAAGAGAAAGAATACGACTAATAAGGGCCATGCTAAGTCTTATACTAAGAGGAAAAATGCCACAACTAATGGTACTAGTAAGAATAATAATACGAAGAATACGATTAATATTATTCATGCTAATAATAAGAGCACTCATGGTTTGAAGACGCAGAATAACAATAGTAAGAAAAACATTCATAATACGACTACTAATACGAATAATAATAAGACGAATGATAAGACGAACGCGACGCAACATAATACCACATAATATAATACTAATATTAATAAGAAGACGAATAATAGTATTCATAACCATAATGCGAACACTAAGCATAATACAAACAATAAAGATAAGACGAACAATCATAATATGATTAATAACAAGAATACGAATAATAATAATCAAATTTATATAACAATAGTAATACTATTTTTAACAATAACATTACGAAGTATAGCCATAATACTACTCATAATAAACATAATATTAACACTCATATTAAAAGTAAGAAGGATCCCATTACCCAAAAATGTGTTACTATTAAGAAGAATGCTACTACTAATCAGAAGAAGAATGCGACTAATATTACTAATAAGAACACTACGACCAATACTACTACTACTACTACTACTACTACTACTACTATCAATATTAATAGTAATAAGACGAATAGGACACATACTACCAACACTAATGCTAATACTAATACTAATACTAATACGAATACTAATACTAATACTAATACTATTACTAATACTAATACTAATGCTAATCTTGCTACTACTAATACTACTACTAATAAAAATAGGTCTAATAGTATTAATAATATTAATACTACTACTACTGATATCAATACGAATACTAATACTCATGACATTAATAATAATACTAGTAATACTGATAAACTTATAATAGTACTAATAATAGTCATAATAGTCGTAACAATACTAATTCTGATACTACTACTACTACTACTACTACTACTACTACTACTACTCGTAGTAGTAGTAGTAGTAGTAGTAGTAGTAGTAGTAGTAGTAGTAGTAGTAGTAGTAGTAGTAGTAGTAGTACTAATAACACTAATACTACTAATTCTAATAACAACGATACTACTACTAATATTAATATTAATACTCAGAATAGTAATACTATTAACAATACTGTTAATACTAATACTAGCACTACTAATCCTAGTGATATAATAAGAGTAATACTAAGAAGAATACTAATATTACGAATAACAACACGAATAAGAAAAACAGGAGGAGGAGGAGGAGGAGGAGGAGGAGGAGGAGGGGGAGGAAGACGAGGAGGAGGAGGAGGAGGAGGAGGAGGAGGAGGAGGAGGAGGAGGAGGAGGAGGAGGAGGAGGAGGAGGAGGAGGAGGAGAGGAGGAGGAAGACGAGGAGGAGGAGGAGGAGGAGGAGGAGGAGGAGGAGGAGGAGGAGGAGGAGGAAGAGGAAAAGGAGGAGGAGGAGGAGGAGGAGAGGAGGAGGAGGAGGAGGAGGAGGAGCAGGAGCAGAGGAGGAGGAGGAGGAGGAGAGGAGGAGGAGGAGGAGGAGGAGGAGGAGGAGGAGGAGGAGGAGGAGGAGGGAGGAGGAGGAGGAGGAGGAGGAGGAGTGAGGTGGAGGGCAATCAATTGGCCAGAGGTCTCTTGGATGCCTCTCTGAGGCCCTTAGGGTATCTCTTGGGCGCTTGTTGGTGGCCTATTGGGGCGTCTTGGGGCTATCTTGGCAGTCCTGGGGGGCTCTTAGGCGTCTTGTGTGCCTCGGGGGGGCCTCTTGGGGCCGCTTGGGGTCCTCTTGGGGGCCTCCTGGGGGCCTCTTGGGGGCCTCTTGGGGCCATCTTGGGGCCATCTTGAGGCCTCTTGGGGCCTGGGCGCTTCTTGGGGCCATCTTGGGGGACATCGATCAAAGAAGAGGGAAGCTCGTTTTAGCCCTGCCCCCCCAAGAGGCCAAATGATTGTGGCTTCCTCGCCGAGGCTGTTTTGAGCTCCCTAAGTGCCCGCGACCGGCCCCGTCCAGGTCCAGGGGAGGTGGTAGGGGGAGCCCCAAAGGGGAAGAGGGAAAGGTGGAAGAGGAAACTCCCCACCAACGCCCAGAGGGCTGGTGGGATTCAAGTCTTCAGGTTGGGTTGGGGTGGTCTGGTAGGTAGTCACCCAGCCCCCTCAGTCACCCCTGAGGGCCCGGACAGGCGCCTCGAGCGTTGCGCTTCCTTCGGGGCCGGCCCTCGCGCTGGGCGAGCTTCGCAGCTCCCCCCGTTGTCCAGGGGCCGATCCCGCCGCAGGTGGGACAGGGCGCCGGGCAGTCGCGTGGGCTTTGCAGGCTCGGCCAGCGCGGGTGCGAGGGAGGGCGGGGAGGGGGTGGGGGAGGAGGAGAGGAGGAGAGAAAGAGGGAGAGGGGCAGCGAGAGAGACTTTGCTGGAAGGACGGGCTCCGAGTAGTTAGGCTAGGCCTGCGAGTGGTCGCCCAGGAGGTGGGGCACCAGGAGGCGGACCTCCGGAGGACAACTGTCCATGCGCGCCCCCAAGAGCGGGACTCCACAGATTCGTCGGGGAGGTGGAAGTGTACCAGGAACAAGACCCCGGGGTGGCGGAAGTCCACGAGGAAACACTCCAGGAAACGGGGCCGCAAGTATACATAGGGAAACCATGCTCTGAACAAAACTCCCCGAGGAGGCGGGACTCCAGGGGGCGAATCTCCAGGAGCCGAAGGCGCTGTCGCCGCCGAGCGGGACGCGGATCAGCGCCGCTGCTTCCCGAGCGGCGGGCCCCTTGGCCGTTGCTCCCGCTGGCCCAGGAGATGGCCGGCCGCCTGGGCCTGGCGCCCCTGCGCCACCTGCGCTGGCTCGCCTGGGACTGGGACTAGGCGCTCGGGGGCGGGCCGGAGGCCGAGGCGGCCGCGTGCGCGCTGGTTCGCCGCTGGGGCGCGGAGCTCAGCTGCGCAGTCCGCCGCGCCACCGCGCGGCAGCTGCGGGCCACCCTCGGGTCCAAGCGCGCCGACGAGGCCGCAGTTCGGCTACCCGCAGACAGAGCTCGCCGGCTGGGCGGCGGGGCGTTGCAGGAAACATGGTGGTGCACGGCTGCCGGCTGGTTCGTTTCGGGGCCCCGCGCCATCGTCGCGCCCACGGCGGTGCTCAGGGGGGGTACCTTGGAATCGTCCCGAAACATCATTCGTGGGATTTCAACACCGCGAATCTAGTAACTCTTGTGCCTTGTCAACCCCGAATAATGCACCACGTTTGATATTTAACCATGAGAATCAGTGAAACTCTTTGCAAACTCTAGACGTTTCGCGTAACCCCACCAGCCCATCCAGAGACGATGCCCAGAGGAATTGCCTTGATCAGGGGAGTGGGCAGCACGCAGAGGAAGGGTCCCCCAGTGGAGGTCTCTTGGAGCGCCTTGGGTGCCTCGGATAGCGTCTTTTGGGAGCATCTTGGGGGCCTCTTGGGCGCCTGTTGGGGCCTCCTGTGCGCCTCTTGGGGCCCTCTTGAAGCGCTTTCGGGAGCCTTGGGAGCGCTCTTGGGGCCATCTTGGAGCACATCGATCAAACAAGCAGCGAGCATTAGTTAGCGTTGCCCCTCGGGAGCCCGAACAATCGCGTCTTGCGGTGCTCTTGGGGCGCTCTTGGAGCGCTCCAGGTCCATGGGGAGGGGGTAGGGGGAGGGGTAAACCCCTCCCCGAAGGGGAAGAAAGAGGGTGGACGAGGAAACTCCCCAAACCACCGACGCCCCGAGGGCTGGTGGGATTTCCTAAGGTTTTGGCCTCTTCGGGGCCCCCTTGGGGAGCTCTTTGGCCACTGGGGGCCGTCTTGGAGCGGTCTTGGGGCATCTTGGAGCATCGTGGGAACCATTATGAGACATGTTGGGATGTCTTGAGCCATCTTGGAGGTCATTTTGGGCTCTCCCAGGCGCTGGTGGAGTCATCTTCATAAGTGCCGCCCCCCAAAGAGGCCAACATGTGGCTAAAAACGGGGTGAAATCAATGATGTGGCATTCTCGCCGAGGCCTCTTGGAGCATCTTGGGTGCCCCCGGGGGGTCTTTTGGGGCCTCCTTGGGGTTTCTTGGGGGCCTCTTGGGGGCGTCCTGGGGGCCTCTTGGGCCTTCCTGGCCACCTCTTGGGGCACCCTTGGGAGCCTTGGGGACCATCACTGGGCCATCTTGGGTGAGATCGATCACAGGAGGGGGGGTGTCTAATTCGAGTCCCCCCTTCAGGAGGCCCAAATGGGGCCAAAACCTTACTACAACCAGTGATTTTTGTTTCCTCGCCGAGGCCGTTTTGGACGCTCCGACACCTCGCGGAACCCCCTGTCCAGGTCCAGGGGGGGGGTCGGGGGGGGGGTAAACCCTTCCCCGAAGGGGAAGAAGGAGGGGTGGAAAAGGAAACTCCCCAAACCACCGACGCCCAGAGGGCTGGTGGGATTGTTACCACGAGTGTGCGCGGCGCCAAAGTTAGAACCACATTTTGAACACGAGTCTCCTTCAATCCGTGAAGCGTTTGCAGATTTTCAAAAACGAATGTGCGCGGCGTTGGTGCGAGAGCCAAAGTCCCACCAGCCCTCTGGGCGTTGGTGGTCTAGAGCGTTTCCTCTTCCACCTCCCTTCTTCCCTTTCGGGGAGAGGTTTACCCCTCCCCCTAATTACCCCGTCCCCTAGACCTGGACGGGTCGCCCTGCGAGCGGTCAGGGTGTCCAAAATGGCCTTGGCGAGGAAACCAAAATCATTGGTTTACCCAGGGTTTTGGCCCCGTGTCGGCCTCGTGGGAGGGAGGCGCTAATTAAGGGAACCCCCTTTTTGAGCCTTTTCGCTTCCGATGGCCGTCCGAGGCGATCCATCTTGGAGACCATGTTGGGCTCTGTGAGGCCTCGTGGAGCCGGCGTGGGCCATGTTGGACGCCCCGACCGGTCGCGAACCCCCCCGTCAAGATCCAGGGGTTGGGGTAGGGGGAGGAGTCAAGACTCCCTCCCCGCCCGCAAGCCATTTCGCTCACTCCCACCCGCCCTCCCAACACATACGTAGCACCCGAGCCTGGCCCGAGCCGCAGCATATGCAGCAGTCGGGTTTGGATGGGCAGCATCTGGGGGCGAATCCGCCGCCGCCGCCGCCGCCTCCGCCGCCGCCGCCCGCCGCCGCCGCGCCGCCGCCGCCGTAGCCCCCGTTGCCGAATCGCCGCCGCCGCAGCCGCTGCCGTCGCAGCCGCCGCCGCCACCGCTGCCGCCGCCGCCGCCGCCGCCGCCGCCCCCGCCGGCCGCCGGCGGTGGCCGCCGCAGCCGCTGCCCCCGCCGCAGCCGCCGCCGCCGCCAAGTGTACTCTGTATTGTTTTTTGACAGGGATGGTTGGGGGGGGTCGCATCGGGTTCGCTGCGCATGTTCCGAATTTGGAGCCAGAGTGTGTTTTGCATTGTTTTTTGCAAAAGGGACGGTCGGGAGGTGCCCTCATTGACTCGGGTTGGCTCCCTGTCGCCTGGGGAAGGGGGTTTATATTCATAGGGAACAGTGATAAACCCGTCCCCGAAAAGGAAGAGGGAGGTGGAAGAGACGCCTTAGACCACCTGCGCCCACAGGGTTGGTGGGACTTCAGGGGCTTCGGCACCTCAGAACGCCTAGGTGGTTTGGGAAATGCCTTTGGGGATGCGGAGGCGTGTGAAGACGCGTGGGTTCCTAACGCCCCAGGGCGGGACAATTGTGAAAACGCATGGGTTCCTAACGCCCCAGAGGGGGGCAAGCGGAAAACATGTGAGTCACTTGCGGCACAGGGCGGAACAATCGTGAAAACACGCGGGCTCTTTTTGCTCCAGGACGGAAGAAGAGTGAACACCTTTTCCGTCGGCAGCGAGGACGACGCATTCCGCGCAAACGTGAGGCTAAACGGGGGCACCGGGAATTCAATTGCCCGGCCTGGAAAGAATGAGGGAACGGCCGCGCGAGGGGGGAGGACATGGTGGGGGGCATTCAGACGCGGAAAAGTTCCAGGTCGAGCGGGCCGGAGTGGCCAGCCAAGGCGGTGGAGCCGCAGCAGCAGCCGGGGCCGGGGCCAGGGCGCACCCGCGGGGGCTGCCAGGGCAGCAGTGGGAAAATGATGAGCAACTAAAGCCAGTACAGGAGCGTCGACACCCAGGGCGTAGGCCAGGACTGCAGGCGTTAAGACAGCGTATGGAGGGTGAACAGAGCGACGGTAAGAGGGAGAGCGGGGCCCTGGGAGGCTGCCTCGTGCAACGCCCGATGGCCCGTTGTGGAGCGGAAGAGTGAACACACACGGGTCCCTTTTGCCCGAGAGCGGGGCAAGCGTAAAAACATGTGGGTCTTTTTCGCCCGAGGGCGGAACCAACGTGAAAACACGCGGGTCCTTTTCGCCCCAGATCGGACCAAGCGTGAAAACACGTGGGCCCCTTTTAGTCCCAGGGCAGGACAAACGTGCAAACAAGTGGGTCCTAACGCCCCAGGGCGGGACCAACGTGAAAACACATGGTTCCTAACGCCCTAGGGCAGGACAAACGCGAAATCACATGGTGCCCTTTCATTCTGGAGCGGAGGAAGCGTGAAAGCACATGGGTTCCGAACTCCCCAGGGCGGGACACGCGTGAAATAATGTAGGCCCCTTTCGCACCAGGGCCGTACAAACGATGTGAAAACACGCGGGTCCTTTTCGCCCCCAGAGCGGGACAAGCGTGAAGACATGTGGATCCTTTTCGCCCCAGGGCGGAACAAACGTGAAAGCACATGGTTCATCACAACCCTGAGCAGGACAAGCGTGAAAAAAACACATGGTCCCTAACGCCCCAGGGCGGGACAAGCGTGCCAACGCGTGGGCTCCTACGCCCCCAGGGCGGGGCAAACGCGAGCACGCATGGGTTCCGGACGCCCCCGGGCGGGACAGGCGTAAGAACACATGGTCTCCTAACGCCCCAGGGCGGGACAGGGGTGAAGACATGTGGGCTCCTAGCGCCCCAGGGCGGGACGAGTGTGAACACAGATGGGTTCCTCACGCCCCAGGGCGGGACAAGCGCGATAACACTAGAGATCCAGACGCCGCAGGGCGGACCCGATCCTCCTGTGCCAGGGGGGCGCGCCACGTTCCATGGCACGTCTGCTGGCAGGTTCTGTGGCGCGACCCCCTGGTGCGTCCCTCTGGCACATCGCGCGGCGCGTTCCCTGGCACGTCCCGTGGCACGTCCGCTGGCACGCTTTGTGGCGCGTCCCCTGGCACCTCATTGTGCGGCGCGGCACAGCGCAGAGCAGCACAGCACAGCCCCTGGCACAGTAATTACCATCACCATTGATATCTTCAGCACTGCGACTGCACATCGCCCACTTGAGGTGCTTGGAAACGTTGCCATACCTTGCAGTTCCAAATCCCTTCCTGGGTTCGTGGGTCGATCATGGTGAGGTCCTTGGGGTCCAGAAGCGGCTCCCCTGGCGGGGAAAGTTGCGAGACATCTAAAGCGTGAGTCCCTGATGAATCGCTCGACTTGATGGGCCTGGGTCTTCTCTGTGGTGATCTATGTGCGTCTGGTCCGCGCCGCGCTGACGCGTCGGCCCGGCGATTCCAGCGCTGGAGTTCAGGGTTGAGCGGCGGATGTTGCCAGCGGCCTGGAATCCTCCGTCGAACGATCGGCATTATGGGAAAATCGCAGAAGAGGAGGAAGAGCAGGAGGAGGAGGAGGAGGAGGAAGAGGAGGAGGATGAGGAAGAGAAGGAGGAGGAGGAGGAGGATGAGGATGAGGATGAGGACGAGGACGAGGATGAGGATGAGGATGAGGATGAGGATGAGGATGATGATGATGATGATGATGATG